AGTTTTTGCCCAAAAATGAATATTTCCTAAAATAGGTAGATGCATTATGAGGTTAATTTCATGATAAAACCAAGGATGTGTAGCTAATTGATGTCTTTTTAAATAGTTTATGTTTCAAACTGTTCCTAGAACTTAGTGGCATGGTATTGGCTAAACACGAAGAAGTGATCTTCCAGCTTTCTATAAGAAACTCTTGTAAGCCATTAGAGGGATTGATGGGAAATGAAATTAATTCTGACCATCAGAGTGCCATTTTGTAGCATTTCATCAATTACATGACCTGAATTTCAGGCTGATATTCTCACGTATAGATCATTGTCTGTTTACAAGGAACATGGGATGATTGAAACTAAATAAACACAGTCTGGGATCGTGTTCTCACTGCCACCTTTTAGCATGCATGTGAGGATTGGGAGTCATGGAATAGTTTCATGGTAAAGTCAGTTTTCTGTTTTTGCCTACAAACTAACTCTGATAGAACCCGGTTCGAAATTGAATTTCAACTATCAAATGCTGACATTAGCAGTCCGCCCCCAGCTGCACATAGTCATGTTTGATTGATAGCTATGTGTAAAAACCCAATTACACACACCAATTTCCATGTTGTGCACATGCAGCCCTTATGCTTCGCTACATAGTCGATGAAGAAGTGCCTCAGTTAGGGAAGCCTGTGATACATGACTTCCTCTTGGGGGCTGAGCCAATCTGCTTTGTTACGTCGATATTCACAGCGTATTATGTCGCACTCAAAGGTAATTGTGTTGATGCTCACGTAGAGCGCTGGCCTGTATCGCAATCATCAAAGCCTTGTTTGCAATTCATCATCTCGAGCGCAGCGTCAATTTACCCCTCATACACATGTATCTTGGTCAGACGATACTCCCGAGACACGTGTGCTTTTGTGTGGGAGCGTGTCAGCCCCCACATTTTGAGTCTGTTCACATAGCTTTAGTTTTTATTCCGTTCAGACACCTTTAAGAGATTAAACTCATGTCCAAAGTAGGAACCCTATGTGCGAGCGTTGTTATTAGTAAGACATTCTTTTTTTTGTATCAGTGAGTTTGGTGTCTCTTAATATTGGTTCTAGTTATATTTACAAGCTGTTCAGAATACATAGTCATTAACAGATCAACTTCATTACAACCTTTTCTTCTTCTTTTAGGTGCATGTCAACAGCCGCCCACCCCCAAATTTCCTCACCTATTCTCACCCATTGCCATTCTCATTTCTACTGACTATTCACAAATTATTTATTTAGAATAAAATGTCATGTACAAAAACATGAACCTTATATCAAGCTTTTCAAGTTGTTCTTTTTTTATACCAGAGTGTGTCAGATCCCCGCTTTTACATGTAACTTCTGCCGTTCGTTTCTTCTCAGTATTCTCTCTCTGACCCTCAAAGCCAGCTTCTGCTTTATGGGGACATCTTTCGTTGCACATCATATTACATAGAAGTGTCTATATTCACAGTAACACAATGCCTGTAGTTAGTGAACGTGATCTACTAAAGATGAAATCATGAATGATTTACTTAACCCTTCTGCGACAATCGTTCCATATTTTGCTGTTGGCTCAATAACTTTGATTTAGGGCCCTACACACATATGCCAGGTGCAAGAGTAGAAAGGGAATCAAATTCTGCACACACTGCATCCATTTTTGTTGCCTAGGTATATTTTGTTTGATGCCAGGTGTTAAAGAAAAGGAAAATAAGCTGTAAAATCCTAAAATTGGCAAAATGTTGAGAGATTCAGAACTATTGTTTTTCAATAAAAATTGCAATTTTTTTTCAACTTTTCATCAACATTCTCGCAAAGATATATTGTTTTCTGAGATATAATATTTTACTTTAACAATGTAGCAAACAATGTAGCAATATAAGAAAAATATTGCATGACTGGACAAAAGCAACAAGGCATGTGTACATGTATGTATGCAAGAGAGTGTCGGGTCTCTGTGTGATTTGAATTTGGATTATGAGGAGTAGAGGGAAACGATGCGTAGTGTGAACTTGTCACCCCAACAATCAGGATTATGATACTAAAAATAGAAGTAATAGATTAATTCTAATGCCAATTTGTCAATTAGAGTTGACAAAAACATTCCAACCTGGCTGTTATAGTATATCAAAACTTTTATTTCATCGTCAGTAATTTTATCAGACTTCAATGGTTTGTTGTATGCTTGTAGACTACGTACTTTGATCTCCAGCTGTGCATAGGCAATAGCCAGGATTCCAACAGTAGAGCAGATTGCATACATGTATATATTTATACGGCTTTATTGCAAGTACTGTATGTATACATGAGGCTTGTTTTATTGTAAGATGTAACCTTTGACATTTTGATCTTGGCAAAAACTTCTTGCAAGCTTGTTATCTGTATAAGATGTGAACTTATGGCTTTCAATGTTGGTGTGTTAGGGATTACAAACGTAAGATTTGTAGTTTTCTTCGGCAATACAAACAATTCTGACTCTCTTGGGTTACCTTTGTTTCTATGCCTGTCCTCTTTTTGGAGGAATGTATGTGGCACCGTATGGATGACAAAATTGTGTCTCTTTCTATTTCAACTAGGTAATACAAATAAAATAATAATATTGGAGATAAAAGATGATAGACCTGCTTCATAATCTACCCAATCTGTAGGTTGGGTTAATGGCACTATGGACGTGTATATGCTCTGCATATTTCAACCTGTTTATAAAGGCCATGTAACTACAGTCAAACCTGCTTTGATAGCAACTATCTGTATCAGAAGGCCACCTGTCTGTAAAGACCACATTTTTCATTTCCCTTGAAAATGGTTTCTCATTGAAACCATTAACCTAGTACTACAGAACATCAAAGACCACTTTTCATGTTCCCCTTGAGTGGTCTTTATAGGTGATCTCAATAGCAATTTACTACTTGATAAACTTGTGAAAATCATGTATAGTTTAACTTGTACAAGAAGGCCATCTGGAGAAAACAGTGGCCATTATATGCAGGTGGCCTTTGTAGTGTTCAATCACTTTGGCAAGTTTGACTATACTTCATATAGACAGCAACACACCACATGGTCTATGTATTGTAATAATAATAATAATAATAATATTTAATTTTTATATAGCGCTTAATACAAATGTCTCTAAGCGCTTTACAAATAATACACAGGTGTGGCACACTGTGTTATTGAGATATTCTCTGGATATGTTACGGCACAGGGAGGGAGGGAGGGGGTAGCCCCTTGTTTGAAATTCACGAGCAGTCGCTAGGTATGATCCTCAGCAACCCACTGGGGTCCATACCTATGTGGGTCAACCAATACTCCAGGGGATTGTGAATCTTGTGAAAACATAGTGTTAGGAGACAGGCCAGTATACTGTAAGCTAGACACGTGCGATTGCATGCAGCGTACAGGCATGAAATCTTCCCTTGGAGCAGCAGACTTGCCCAGATTTTGTCATTTGTACAGGGTGCATAATAAAAATGATAAAAAACTTCAAAGAGATTTATTCTGTTTCTTTTTAGTTATAATTTATTTCATTTTTTTTTTGGGGGGGGGGGGGGAGCAAAAGATTGCTAAAATGTCATACAGATACATGTCAAATACCTTCAGCAAGAATATACAAACAGACAATTAAATTTTGATGTTCTGGGACTTCATTGAAGTTGCAAAGCGTGGACGAACACTAATTTCAAACTTGTCTCCCTGTGTTTCAATTCCACAGAATATTCCGAGTTTGTGCTCATTATACCCACTCCTTAATACACTAAGTTGTCCATTTGGGGCTGTTTATCTGCTACCTTGTAACAAATGTTAAATGATAGTACCGTTCTATATCAATTTATGCCTCTCTGAAGCCCACAGGCAAAACTAATGATGATAGAACCATAATATGTCACACAATTAGTTGTAAAAACACAGGTTAATGGAAGCCATCAAGGAAATTAGAGCGGAAATTGTCCCTTCCCGCCCCCATTGCTTTTCAAACGCAATCCCCTAAATTGACGTCGGATTTCCTCACTCACATCACGTTGTTGAAATGTCACATGAAAGGGCTCGGCCTCTCAATTAATTGATGATCCCTGTTTAAGTGCTAAGGCCAGTTACCTAGTATGTATGCCTATTATCTCTTCTACACACATAATTAAGTGTGCATTTGTAATGTACAGTACATATAGGCCCATGTACTTAACAGTATTCATTTGTTAAGCCTCGGTCACAAATGCCATTACGAACTGCTACGAACGCCGTACGAACGATTTTCAGACAATAGAAATTCGGGAAGACAATGGAAAAACGGAGATTCATACGAAATTATCGTTCGTACGAATGTTTGTGACCGTAGTATAAAATGCTGACATTCTTTAAAAAATGGTATTGATGTAGTCTGGTCAAATTCTTTGTTTTCAGCAATAAAGTAGCGAATGTCTGTATTCTGTGGAATCCAAGGTTTTGTTTCAAATACATGGTTAATCCAGTTTAATCCAGCTTAATCTTTTAAACAACATCTTTATTTGCCGCTCCCTTCAGATTGGTGTATGTATGCAGCATTGTTTTTTGTTTTCAACAATAAATTGGCGACAGTCTGTATTCTAAAATATCCCAAGAATTTGTATCATGTACATGATTAATCCAGTTTAATCCAGCTTAATCTTTTAAACAACATCTTTATTTGCCGCTCCCTTCAGAGTGGTGTGTGCATGCAGCCTCTTTCTTTGTTTTCAGCCATAAATTGGCGACAGTCTGTATTCTGAAATATCCCAAGAATTTGTAACATGCATGATTAATCCAGTTAAAAAAAACCTTGATTAAATCTCTAAACAACGTCTTTATTTGTCGCCCCCTATAGATTGGTGTGTTCATTCAGCGTCGTTCTATGTTTTTCAGCAATAAATTGGAGAAAATATGTATTCTGAAATATCCTAATAATTTGTATCATGCATGATTACTGGTAATCCAGTTTAACAAACTTATATTAAACAACGTCTTTATTTGTTGCCCTCTACAGATTGGTGTGTGCATGCAGCGTCTGCGAGGCGGGGTAGCCATGGGAGGTCCCCAAGGTCAACATCAGGTCAGCTCTACGGTGCACGACGATGCCATCCTCCAGCTGTGTGCTGACCTCCATGACACAGATGCAGCCTCTATGCAACTCAAGGTCATCAGATACGTAAGTCTTCTGTAAACCTTGTTAGAGTTGTACGATGCACGCTCCTGCAACAATCGCTCTGAGTCAGTAGACCAGGGACCCCATTTCACAAAGCCTTTTTTCAATGACAAATGACAAAAATCAGTGACAAATCTGCTGATAACCAATCAGAAGCAAGGATCTCACTAGCTTAAAACTGTCATTTGTCACTGATGAATTAATTTTGTAAAACGGGGCCCAGTTTACTAACATATTCAAATTGTATGCATCTTTTTGAACAAAAGTTGTTCTTGACAACCTGAAAGCTTGTCCAAGGCTTGCTTGACATAGCAACCAGTAATATATGCAGACTTTATTCCACGTATTGTAGTTCATTCATTATTAATGGGTTAATGGAATAACTCGTCACTTGGTCCTCGAAAAAGAAACATCCATAAATTTGAAAATATTAGTAAATCGGTCTATATTCCCCAATCATTTTTCTCGACCCAATATGATGCACCTATTACTCAGGTTATCCCTAAACCCAACCTGAGGCCCAATTGCAAACCTAACCTGACGCCCGATTGCAAACCTAACCCCTCCGTCTTCTCTCTAGTTACTCCTAAACCAATTCTCTTGTGACAAGTGACAAGAGCTGGACCAACACTATACCTAATAGTAACCCTAGCCCTACACCTAGCCTTAAGCCAATGCCAAACCATAAACCTGAGTACAATCATACCCGTAACCTGACATCTGTGATGGAAAAAAAGATGAAGAAAAGGCAATGTTCAAGATAAACCGTCTTACTTGAATATTTTGCTGCCGAATGGAACACCCTCTGCGATGCCACATATTCCCCAATGTAGAGTGGATCATTTCGAAGTATGAATTCTTATATAGTGAGTGATCTTATCATCAGGATCACGATGGATTCCTTCTCTGCATTAAAGTTTGTCCAGATGTGTTTTGAAGAAATTTTCAGGTTTTCAATTTGACTCATTAGTTAACTTTCTTTTTCATTATTTAAATGTATATGAACTGTTAATGATATACCTCTCTTTAGAAATCTAGCCATCTGATTGGTCAAAGTTGCAGTCAAGATTTTGGATATTCCCTTAAAGAGACGAACAAATGGTCAATATTTCATGAGTGAAATGCTGTTGTCCAGGGTAACAGGCAGCATAAATCAATTGTGCTCTGATCACCGTTGGTTTACGTGTTAAAATTTTCTTTGATCGAGCGGACACTATGCAGTGCTTTTTGTCTGCGATTCCCAAATGATTGAACTTTCAGTCATTTTCAAGCGAAGATAAACAAACAGTTTCTCAGATTTTCTGTGATGTTTTAACCAATCTTTACTCAATAAAAGGATAAGGTGAGAATTCTTGGTAGTTTTTTTGTTTCAATTCAGCATATAAAAGACATATCGACTGCTTTAATATTGAGGCCTGGCTCTCAAAGCAGTCGATATCTCTATACTAAAGAATCCCTGTGTCAGTTTGATAGGCTTGTCTGTACAAATTTAAATATTGCCTTGAGACTAGAAAAAAGCTGCATTCTTTCAGGCAATTAGCAAACATGGCAGACTTCTGTTATTAACATGGTGAATATTGATGAACCTTGCGTGACAAAAAAAAAGAATCTCAGTCAACATGTTGTCTTTGAGAGCAAGAAGGATGTTAACTCATATATTTCTAGACACCTGTTTGAGCCAGATGGCTCTTAACAGGTGATACTTGTATCTCATCGTAAAAAATACAGAAATGTGGGAAAGAAATACATGTGGATATATTCCTTTAGATAACAAACGTCAGCTTCATACTTTATCAGGTGAATATTGCAAGCACGAATGAGTTATTGATCGCCTCTTTCATTTGGACCAACGCACAATTACTAGATTCATGCAGCTAGCCATCAAAAACAAATCATATAATCCCCTTGCCAGTGTATTCTGCTTTTAAGCACGTCATAGCCGTTTCCGTTCCAACCGATCGATGGCTTCCACACATTCACCATGCAGCTAGTCATTCAAACATGAAAATCAGCACATTCCAATTCCGCCGCTGTGCGCTCCTCGGCGGCATACTCAAACAGGCCGGGCGGTGTCCCCTGCTGCCCTCTTACGCGGGAAGTGTAGGCATTGCAAAGTGGGCATCGAGTTGCTATCAATCATGTGTTGTAATTCTGGCGGACTCTCACTAGGCCTGTTTTCATCAGCCCGAGATTGCCAAATAGCCTGCTATTTCTGATCTGGGAAATAATCCTTAAGTTACAAATCTCGTCTTCTTTAGCCTGAGACTTGACCTCGAACTTGAAACTCAAGCTCGAGATATTTTGCTCAGCGTTCGCGCATAGTGGGAGTCTTCGATCTGGTGAAGGCGCACCAGACAAATAGTGGGATATTTTGCAACTAGCCCAAGATATCTTGGGATGATTATCTTGACCAAATATCCCGCTAATTGCGACTTCGGACTGATGATGACGCAAATTAACTGGATAATTTGCAATCGGGATAGTTCAAATATCGGGATATTTGGCAATCTCAAGCTGATGAAGACAGGCCCAATCTCTCGTCGATGATGGTGGCACAGGTGTCTAGATGACTTATTCAATTCAATCCAAAAGTATGAAACGTGAGCCCAGCAGTTTGATTTAATCACAAGATTGCCGATAGGGCACTCTCGGGATTTAACGTGTTTGTTGTTGTTTTTTCTTTACTCCCTGCTTGGTCTTTTTGACAAATAGATGGATAGGAAAAACCATGGCACAGGAAAGCATTAAGGCACATTTGTATCTCGTGAGACAAAATCCACTTTGGTAATTTTTCGCTTGAGCAATTAAGATTTGTTGAAGATTGGAAAGACCTAATCGATGTCGTTAGCTGGAACAGGAAATGCCATGAAACAAATTGTTTGTAGCTGTTACATTTTTATTGCAGAAGTTGAATCCCCCAAAGCAATTCTATTTTAGAGAAATGACTAGAGATTTTTTTGTGAATATGGAAATCTGAGAAAGATTTTGAACAAAGGCCATACAATCTCATCCTCAAAGAATCTTGATTTTCTCTGGGGTGGTATTCTGAAAAAGTTATTTTACTGTTATGTTAATAAATCCATTTTAATTGTCATAGAAAAAATCAAAATGGACACAGGACATTGGTTAATGTCTTTAATGTCTGTGTACTCTAAAGCTATCTGTGTTTCATGAATTCAAAAGCACTACAAAATACTACAAATCTCCTAGAACCTTTGAATTTTGATGTAAAAAGATTTCATTCAAGATTGTTTCGTGACAGTATGGCTGACAAACAAATCTCAAGTTTAATGGGCTTAATTTAGTGCGCACACATAGATAAGCGCACTTGATACGCATAGTGCTGCTCAAGAATAGGCCCAAGGGCTCTAACCTCTATCCAATATCCAATTCAAAACTGACCAGCATAGTTGATAAAGAGGTTAGGATTTGAATGGGAGGGGGGGGGGGGCTAAATCTGGAGAAAATGTTCTTAGCGTACTTTGCTTTTCCTCCATGCACACAATTCAGTACAATTCAATTCAATTTCAAACAGACCAACAAAAATGGAAGGGGGGATTTCTGTATGGCTGAATAGAGAGGGGGTCACTAGGAAAGGAGAGGGGGGGGGGGGGGGGGGTAGAAGTATACTTTATTCTCACTTACATATACTATTCTCCTAAGCTCTGAAATGCTTGATGGTTTAATCATGAATCTAAGATTTAAGTCAGTGTGAGGATCAATACATAATGAATGTGACATTCGCCTTATGCAATATTCCATTCCTACATGTGAATTCCAGTAAAATAGACCAACCAAATAGACAGTTACTTCTGACTATCCAAATGTTGGGGGGGGGGGGGGAGGGGAGGCCTCTGAGAAGGGCGAGGGTGCTAAAAAGTATTCCTTATTCTCACTGACATAAACATCTCTCCTAATCTATTAAAAGCTCGATGATTTAATCATGAATCTTAAGATTTTCCAAGTTGGCGTAGGGAACAGCACATTTAATACTTAAATGGATGTGACAATCGCCTGGTGCCATATTCCTTTCCTGCATGTAAATTCCTCTAAAGATAGACGAACTTAAATGGAGAGAAGCTTCTAACTGTCCAAATGCAAGAAGGCCCAGGGAAGGGGGAACGCTTCAAATCATGCTTTATTCTCGCTGACAGCGCAAGCATCCGTCCTAATCTCAGAAATGCTTGATGATTTAATCATGAATCCAAGATTGAGTCGGTGTGAGGATCAACACCTGTATTGTATCATGAGATAGCAGATCCAATTTTCTTCTCTCCTCGATCGGTGTGTTCTCCCAGAGGCCCATTGAGTGCATGCTTAGCCAGGTATCATTGGGGCGATATCTATGCGCTTGGACAGACAGATACCGAATGGTGTGCGTATGCATATCTTCATAGTACACAGAAGTGCCGTGCAAATACTTGGTGTGGGGTATTGGGGGAAAAAGTTGTATGTCTTCTGAAAATGACTAAAAACTCTCCTCTTTGACCATGATCAACAACAGATTCTTTGATGATTTTTATGTAAAGCGCTGTGAAACAACTTAAGTTTGTAAGAGCGCTATATAAATGACTTTAATGTATTGTATTGTATGTAAAAGATCATTGATTCTTTATAATATTTTTGACTGTTTTAAAAATTCTCATTGGAATTTTAGTTATTGTTAGGGGTGGGGTGGGGGGGGGTTAGATGCAGTTAAAAGGATAGATAGGACAGAGCATGATTTGCCCTGAAACAATTAAAATAGCCACTTACAATCTTCTATTTGGAGTTTTGATGTAGGAAATCACTGAACGCATTATAAAATAGCCTCCCCCTTGCCCAGAAAGAAAGAAAAATAAAGCGCTTGTTATCATTCTGGCGAGACATGCTTGGACAGGGACTGAAAGGTGGGGATGCATATTCATACACTGGGTGTCAGAACAAATACTTGGCATGCAGCATTTGGGGGTAGAGGTGGAGGAGGGAGGCTAGACATTTGCATGTTAGTATTTATTGACCGT